ACCTGTGGAAATGAAGTTGGCTAAATCATGTGTAATAAGATGCAAACCCATTAGCTTCTTTATTGCTTCAAGACATATATCTGTACAAAGGAAGAAAGACGCTTTCGAGTATTATTTAACCCACAAATGGTTAAACATAAGGTTTCTAAGTGAGTATTAAAATGTGAGTGTTTACTTTCTGTCATTCTATGCAATAAATTGAGTTAGGCTCCGGGGTATAAACTGTATGCCTCAGTTAGGGAGATTTTCTTTTCTCATGAAAGTGCAGGAATAAGAAATTTTTAGGTCGATCTCACCAGAAGAAGACGGCTGAATCCCATTATACTGCAGCCGTTTCGCTTTAATACGACGTTCAGGTTGACGCGGCCCACAAAACCTCACCCATCGTTTTGCTTGAATACGAGCTGAGGTTTCATTCATCATATGATGGACATCATAAAAGCTGTAACTCATTCTTCTATAAGTCATACGTTAACACTAAGTTAAGAAGACTATTCGGTTCTATCTTACCTCATATATAGATTGAATTAAGCAAAGGAAAATTAAAAGGTATAGATAGATATAGAATGCTTTGACTAGTTATCTTTCGTGTTGGCCCCGCTACTTTTGCTCGTGTGTGCATTCGTGTGTTAACCTCTATACAACATACCAGTCTTAAAACAGATGATCAAAAAACCTAATGTCAGGCTATGGTCATCAAGGCTTAATGACCCAAGAAAAAGCGCTGACGGAGACTGCGTTAGTCTGTAAGCAAGTATGGTTGACATAATGAAATGTAAGCTTGTAAATGTGTAAATGTTTTAGTCAGGTGACGAAACCACTCGTCCTAGCCTCTTAGTCTAGGGTCATTAATCGAAGGTCTGAAGACTAAGATGGTATAACCTTTGGTGTGGTCGCAGTCTTCTTTCGTTTTATAGAAGTTGTTTGACCTTGTTTTCGCAACTCGATCATATTGGTAGGAAGACTTAGAGGAACGCACCTTGTCCGGAGTCCATTGTATGCATACTCATTTCCAAAGTCGGACCGTGGACGTGGTACATTCCCAGACATTTCGCCGGCATCGTACTCGGCATCGTCAGTTAGTTTTGTCATTCGTAGCACCATATTACAACTCGTCAAAGAGATAAGTGAAGACCATCCTTTGACCAAACCTGTGCTGAACGGTTATGGTAACTCCCCTTCTGCCCTGGCCTATTCACATTTCCTATATCCTCCTACCACGCCTTCCCTGTCACAATATTTTACTTCCTTAATTAAATGTGGTACTGTGTGCCCTTTTAAGCGGCTTTATGAGAACCCTCCGCACTCCACGCTGGCCATCTCACTCCCCTTCATCCTCGTGCTGGGAATGTGGATCAGAAACTGCCATATTGTTACACCGTCCTCCTTCCCTAGATGTTACCACAGTTTCTCTCTCGCCTAGTAAGATCCGTCTGCCCTCTCCCTGGTTCACATATTTTACTCGACCCCTACCACCCCATCTATGCCACTCGAGACGTTATTCGCCCTCCCCTGCGTCTAAGTGACTAATTCTAGGCTAATGCCTCTGAGTAAGTCTACTGGTCAGGCCTTTGCCACATAGACCACGTCTCTCATACAACCTAATTTCAGCCCACTAGCTTCCATCGAAGCTGCATCTATCATGTTTCTATCTCTAATACCAAGTCTATGATTTGCCATGCGCTAGTCTCTTGTGTGCCAACCCACAGACGTTGTGGTTCAACATTGAACCTAGTCAAAGCAAGCAGTACCACAACATTTGTGAATCAGCACACACGGGCAAAAGTAGCGGGGCTAATACGAAAGTTAACTAGTCAAAAGCATTCTATATCTATCTATGCCTTTTAATTTTCCTTTGCTTAATTCAATCTATATATGAATAGTCTTCGTAACCTAATGTTAACGTGTGACTTATAGAATGAGTTACAGCTTTGATGATGTACATCATATGATGGATAAAACCTCAGCTCGTATTCAAGCAAAACGATGGGTGAGGTTTTGTGGACCGCGTCAACCTGAACGTCGTATTAAATCCAAATGGCTGCAGTATAATGGGATTCAGCCGTCTTCTTCTGGTGAGATTGACCTTACATTTCTTATTCCTACACTTTCACGCGAAATGAAAGTCTCCTCAGCAATGGTATATCAGGAGATAGCTCGAAATCCGATTACTCTTCCTATCTACAATATAGGCCTCGGATAAATCAAAGCATCGTTAAGCGCAAAAGTTCCATTGGAGGCGTTTTCTTGACCCAAATCGGTTTAAAACCTGTTTTCGAGTATGATTTCGATCTGAATCATACAATTTTTCTGGTAGTATTATAATATTGGGATTAACTCTAGTAGGATATTGATTAAAAGTTACTCACGTACCAAGGACGTGCCTGCACTGTGTTAATATTCTCTCTAATAATAACACTATTTTGGTTGCGCCAAACATTTAGCATTTGATCTTCAGGTAATTGCACCTTAATTTTTGATCATGCTAAGCACTGCGTGTAGCAATAGTCTCTTCTCATGGTAAGATAGAACAAATTATATAGACCCTACAAATTTAACTTTACTGACTACAAATTAGTTAAACTTTGCAAAATAGTTAATAATAAAATCAAGAAAAAATACTTTGGGGTTTTTATGCCTAGCTTTTTGGAATTATAGACTAATAACTCCTACGTTGTTATCAGCGATGTCTAATAATAGACCTAAATACATGTATTTCTGAAAATTCATTTTATATTATAAAAGAATTTACTTGTGTGGCTTAGATATAAAGCTTTAGTAGTACAATAAATGTCTATTTTGATCGCATCCAAAGAGAGATCTAATTTTAATAACAAATATAGTCTTGCTTTTATGAACAAATTAAGCTCATAAATGCTTCGACATTTCTACTAAATTCTGATGAAAAAAATAAAAATATTTATTTCATGGAATGTTTATTTGCTTCCGCATTGCATTATGACCATAATAAGATTTTATAGAAGCCATTTTGTATCTTTTTTCTTAAAGAATAAACTTTATGGAAGTTGTTTGACCTTGTTTTCGCAACTTGGTCATAATGGTAGGAAGACTGATAGAAACGCACC